TAGTGATTCTGACTGATAATGCTGTGCTTTGCAGGACTGGGACCACAGCCTGATGAGCCGTGTCTCGGGGTGGAGAAGGGAAACCATAGGGGCTTTGGTCTCTGGGCAAGTCCCAGTACTTTCTACACCTAAAAAAGGGAATGTGTGTCAGACACCAGGAAGCTTTTGCAGCAGGAGCAAGCGCTAGGGCTTTGGAGCCTGCAGAAGAGCAGCAAATTTCTGTCATGGGCCTTAAAGGTGGTAAAAGGAAAGGAAGGTGAGACATGAAAACGTCGGGCGCAGCTTGCGGAGTGTTGCCCGTGGCCGGCGTGGTGGCGGGAAGCAGCGCGGTTAGGGAGCAGGGCTGAGGGTTTGGAGAGCACAGGCTTCGCTTGCAGGTTTCCGTTCCTGATTTTGACGAGCTCTGAAGCCGTGGTCCATTCCTGCCTGCAGTGTCTCGTTTGGTGAATTTTTGGGTCCAGACAAAGAGGATGCTGAAGAACTACTAGTTGAATAAAACTATGATACTCACTGTAAGTGCATTTGTGTTCCTTACGTGCTCGTTTTCAGATGATACTCCTGCAAAAATGCACTTACTGTCAAGAGTGAATTTTAAACCAGAATTAGTGAGTCACTTAAAGTGCTTAATGCTACAATTCATAAGAGAAACTTGATTCTTAGCCTTTGTTTATCTAGTCTCAGAAAAGAAACAGCTACGACTGCTGGTGACCAGGGGTGGTTTTGATTGGATACAACCTGCCTTCCAAATATCCTTCCATCCAGTGAGCTGCTTATGAACAGCTAGTTCAGAGGCCAGAAGTTACTTGGAGAAAGTTTCTGGGGATAATGCTGGAATAAATGAATACATTGGAGGAAATCATAAGCTTCTTACAGGCTGTTTGCTAACAGAAGCACGAGTGTGTGCCCGTCAAAGACATTATTGAGTGTAAGTTGTGCGTCTCGGAGCCTGTTTCCCTGCCCCAGTGCAATGTTTTAACTTAACCAGTTTTTTGGAGGAGCCACCAAGTGTCTCTTGTAAGTAGCGAAGCCCTAGCTGTGTCTGTTCTGCACCGCTAACCAGCTGTGCTTCTCGGTGAATTGTAAGAAGACTGCAAATACGCAGATGCTGAGAGACAGATGCAGTGCTGGCCTAGAAAGTGCTGTATAAATACCTGCAAGTAGAGCTTAACAAACAGAGCATCCCTGGGCTCTGCAGCGAGGAGGGAAAAGATCCTGCTCAGTTACAGCCCCATGGATTTCTGGGGAATGGACTAGTCGCCCTGGGAGCAGAATTTGGCCCATATAACTGAGTAATAAAATATCTTTAGGAGGAAGTATATTTATCAACAAAGAGCTCTGTGAGAAAAGAGCATTGCATCTTCAAGTTACGTTTGTGGCGCGGCGGCCTGGGAGTTGGCAGAGCTCCTTCCGATCGAGGGAGCCGAGGGGCAGTTTTGCTGCATCACAAGCTGCAATAGTATCTCCGAGGCTTTGAAAATGAACACCAGTGTCTCTGAAAACAGGATGCTCTTTGTGAGTTTTAATTGGATCCAGTCATGTCTGAATGCTGCAGTCTTTGAAATAATGTGACTAACCTAGGAAAGCTATTCGAAATGGAGCTGCAGTGTTCCCAGATCAGCACAGGTGAAGAGCTCGTGGGGATAAAGGCCCTGCATGAGATTCTGGACTGAACTTGAACTGAATTAAACCTTTTTTTTTTTTTTTTTTTTGCCCATGTATTGTTTTGCAGGCCTTTAGGTGACTTATATATCTTCCTCTGCTTTACCTAGCTTGGTAAGAAGTAGGTGCAAAAATATTCTAAAGCAGGTTTTTGCACAGGGGGAACTGAGTCATGGAGGAGCTGAGTGCCATGGATTTAAAGTGAATGTTTACTTTTACCCTGGGGTGTTTTGCAGAGGCAACTGGCCTGCCTGGGGAGGAGTTACTTTTGGCTTTTGAGACTGGGCAGCGAAGCTTTGGCTGCTAGACTTGAATGCACTTTTGTTGCTCTAAGTACAAGAGTCTCTTTCCATAAATAATCCGAAATGCCAGTGGATGCTGAAAGGGATTTTCTCAGGGAGTCACTGTTGGGTGTYTTKTYYTTTTTTTTTTTTTTTTTTTTTWTTGCATGCTTGTTAAACCCTTATCAGTTTWTTTAAATTTACCAGAGCAGCCTGGCCCACACGAATGGGATCCTGGAGGACTGAGGTGAGAAAATCAACAGGATTTGTTGAGAAATCAACAGGATTTCCTCACCTCAGTCCTGTTTCTTCTATTTATGGTGCAGCCCATCCTCATGGCAGGCACAGGCTGCCTCTTCCCAAAGCGGTCCCTGAGGAGAGCCCAGCAGCGTGATTCGGTTCTGGGTGCAGGTCCATTCCGCTGAGTTGGGTCACTGGGCAGGGGTGAGGTGCTTGGAGCCTCTCAGGAGGCCCAGCTAAAACTCGAAACCAGTGCCTATTTTGAGTGGAAAATCTCATGTAGGAAGAAGGGATGTTTAATTAAGGAAGTAGGTGTCTTTTCTAGGCATGGAAAAATGGTGGGAGTCCCGTGTGATCAAGGAGCTGAATGCAGCATTTAGGTCCAGGTTTTCTAGACGTGCTTGGTTGCATGTTTGCTTATTTTTCTGTTGATAAGAGTGATTTGTTCTGAAAGGTAAAGTCCAAAGAATGAAAATCTGAGTAAAATTCACATTTATTAGAAATGAAGCTGTTCAGCTTTTGACCTTCTTATCTTGTCAGCGTCTCTTAAAAAATGAAGAAAAAAAAAAAGGCAGCAGAATTTGACTGAAGCAGTGGATACAGCAGGATGACTTCCAGCAAACAAAAGGAGGTTTGGGATGGAGACACCCGGTGCAGAATAAGAACTGCAGGACAAGGACTTGTTACAGTCGCGGGGAAGAGTGAACCCAGCGTAGACTTTAACATGGGTTATTGGGCTGTTGGTGCTTCTCTGCAATGCAGACCTAAGGTGTTTGGGACGTGACTGTATCTCATTGACGCTCTGATATTTGCAGGTTTTGTCCCAGTTAAAATCGGACTGAACCAGTGCAAGAGACTGGAGTCTGTGCTATGTGTGACAGCTAATGAGCTCTTGTTTTATGTGGAAATGCTCAAAATTCGAGTGACTTCAAGTGCAGAGCTACTTGGAGCAGGAAAACCATAAATTGCCAATCTCTTGACATGTATTGCCTTGTGGTTTGCTTTAGTTTTACTTCAGACTAGTTCTAGGAAGTTAGTATCAACTGTTAAACCTTTCAGGCTATCTTCCTCTCCTCTTTTTTTTCCTGTCTTTTTTTTTTGGCTTCGGAGTGAATAAAAGAGCTTTGTGCAGTTCTTGAACCCGCGCCTGAAACAGCTCTGAACAGAAATATAGTGTTCCTTTGAGCGTCGGGGAAATCATTACATCATGGGCAGAGAGGGCCAGGAGCCCTTGACGGGTCCCTTTGTGGAGGCGAGGGCCGCCCGGCCACTGTGGCAGCATGCGGAGCTGCCTGAGGGCTGCCCACACCTCGGCAGCGCTGCGGGATCCCCCGGCTCTCGGGAACCGAGCCGGGACCGGCCGGCTGGCAGCCAAGGCAGGTATGGACCATGGCTTGTGGAGGGGGTGAAAGCTCTCTTGCCTCTCTCTGTTTTCCTGATTACTGGAAAGCCTCATCCATGGTGGGTGCTAGAACGACACAGTCATTACCATTCACCGTTTGACCCACGTCCATAAGAAGCACTTAGTTCTCTGGGTAAGGAGGGTGGTGGTGCTGGGGAGCCGCAGCGGTGCTTGGGCTGGGCCTGCTGCCCGCCGCCGCGGTGGGAGCGCGTGGCTTGGAGCCCGCGCGCGTGCCCCGTCGCAGGGCCCTCTGCCGGGCACCAGCCGCCGCCTCCCTCCCAACAAAAGCCGCTTTCTGCCCGAGAAGCAGCTGCCCGTGAGCCGGCGCCTTCGCCAGGGCAGCGTGAGCTGCTGCACGATGCTGGGCCTGGGGCAGAGCTCCAGCAGAGCTGCCCTGCAGAAGCGGAGCCGCTTCGCCTCTCTGCACTTGGGTCTGCCCCAGTCCAGGCAGTGTGGATGTGGTTATGCCCCAGTAACATAGCAGCTGGAAGTCGTGGCAAAACCTCAGCTACATCCAAGTAAACTCAGTCTCTGGGAGCTTTAGGCTCAGCCCTGGGCACGTGGCAGAGGTAGCTCACCAAAGCGAGAGCAGCCGTGCTTCGGAACCTGTTGTGTAAGTGACAGTCACCAGGTTTGGCTCATGCTTCTACAGGAAATCACGACTTTCACAGCTAAAAAACAAGTTGCTTCATTGTAATTTTAAGAGAATAGCTGGTGGCTGTAATAACTTGCGTTGTCTGTGAATCAGCATGGGGAGGGATCCGCAGCACAGCGGTCTGCACATGCCTGCCTTAAATGGAGCTGTGCTCACTGCAGAGGGGTGGGAAGGAAAGGTACTTGCAGAATTGTAACCTTTGAAAATATGTAATATAGCCCACATTGCATCTGATCGGTTTGAAATCATACTCTATTTTCAGGTCTTAAATCAGTTGGAGTTCATTTGCTCAAGCAGTGCTTGTTTGTTATATCAGCTTCATTATCCAGACTTGAATGTGAATATTCAAGATGCACTGGAGAGGGTGGGAGTTTCACAGGGCTTACCCCACTTACTGAGGCAAGTTGTGTAACAACTTTAGGTATTTGTTTTCAATTTCTTTTTTGATTGATACTGCTTTTCTCAAAACCGGAAGAAGTCTGGTGTTGATTTTAGGGAAAGATTTGGTCTCTAAATAGCTATAGCAAAAAAAAGTTGAAAATATAATATTAAAAAGCTTTCAGTGGGGGTAAAACTGTTTAATAGTAGTTTTTAGGAATTATTTATATAGTGCCCAGCAGTACCTTATTCAAAGCAAACTCCTAATAGCCAGGCTTCCTTATTCCACCAAAGGCTTTTCTTGTCCTCTCCTCCCTGTCCCTGCCAGCAAACCAGCCTTGGTGGCTTCAAGTGACAGGCATGCTTTCTGTTCTGTTTTTTGCAGGAGGCTGTGAGGGCTGCTGAAGATGTCCGATAGTCTGGATATTGAAGAGAAACCTCCAGCCCCGCCGTTGAGAATGAACAGCAACAATCGCGATTCCTCCGCACTAAACCACAGCTCAAAACCGCTCCCCATGGCCCCGGAGGAGAAGAACAAGAAAGCCAGGCTTCGCTCCATCTTCCCAGGAGGAGGGGATAAAAGTAACGTATCAGCAGTGCAAACGGGCTACATCCTTGTCGCATTTTCTCTCAGTTGTTGGTTATGTGTTTGCTTTCTGCCTCTGTTTTCTTTCTGTTTCAGTTGCTGAACATGGTAATTAAAGTTCTTCCTAAGCCTTCTGTTCCAATTACTCTAGTGCCATATTTTAAAAGGAGGTGTTTAGTCAGTTACTTTCTTGTGTTTGAGAAGCCAGTAGGACATGTGCACGCTTCGTGACTTGCATTTTTAAAATACCTTTCCAGTTAAGACAGGGAGTCTTTTTTCTTTAGACTTTGCTCTGTATTTGTAGTGAAACCAGGAAGCTGCAGTTGCGAGTTTTGGGAATTGCACTTGCAGAACTAAGAAAGCAACATGCCCAGTTTTATATATTTATTTATGAATTTTCCTCACAGGAATGAGAACAAGGCTCTTGTTACTTTTACATTGTTGTTGGATACAGATACAAAACCTGTTGAGTGTGGCTTGCAGCAAAAGAGTCTTATTTTTTTAAGCATGCAGGAAACAGCATTTTCTCTGAAATGCACTTGCAGAAAGGAGTGTGGCTTAGTTAAGGTATTTGAAGAATTAAGGGAACTGTGGTCCTTCTTTTTTAATAGTTTGGGACTAGATGAGATGCATGCTGAGTGCTAAAGGGACTGGCCAGTGTCATTTTGAGGACGCTCTTAATTGTCTTTGAAAAGTCATGGTCACGGGGAAGGTTGCTGAGAACTGAAAGACCGTGAAAAAGCATAAATATCACTCCAATCTTCAAGAAGGGTAAGATAGTGAATCCAGGGAACTACAGGCTGCTCAGCCTCACCTCAGTGCTTAGGAAGGAGTTGGAGTAAATTTTCCTGGAAACCATTTCCAAACACAGAAAGGACAAGAAGTGATAGAGAATAGTCAGCATGGATTTGTGAAGAGGAAATTATGCTTAACCAGCCTGTTAGCTTTCTCCAGTGAGCCCGGCTAGCTTGGAGGATAAGGGAAGAGCAGTGGCTGTTCTTTGTCTCAGCTTCAGTAAGGTGCTTGACACTGTCTCCCATAGCACTTTCAGAGACCAACTGCTGAAGTGTGATCTAAATAAGCGGAGAGCAAAGCAGATTGAAAACTGAACTGACGGGCTCAAAGGGTAGTTGATCAGTAGCAGGATGTCCAGCTGGAGGCCAGACACTAGTGGAACACCTCAGATGTGGGTGCTGGGATTGGTACCGTTCAGCATCTTCATTAAGGACTTAGATGATGGAACAGAGCATACCCTGAGCAGATTTGCACATGATACAAGGAGAAAGAAAAAGAAAGAAAAAGAAAAAAAAAAAAGAAACAACAACAAAAACAGAGATAAATCAGATGGTTTTGCTAACTTGACTGCTGGCAAAATGAGTCAAGAGGAACCTCAAGAAGTTCAGCAAAGGGAAATGTGAGTTCTTGCAGCTGGGGAGGAATAATCCCATTCACCAGCTGGCTGGAAAACAGCTTTTCAGGAAAAGATGTGGACATCCTGCGGGACAGCAAGTTTATCTTGAGCCACCAATGTGCCTCCATGGCAAAGAAGGCCAAGAGCATCTTGGGCAGCATTAGGGAGAGCGTTGAGAGAGATCCCTTCCTTTTGCCCAGCCCTGGTAAGACACACCTAGAGTGTTGTGTCCAGCTCTGGCAGGAGAGACTTCAAGCTATTGGAACAAGTCTTGGCCACCAAGATGATTAAAGGATTGGAGCACCTGTCATGCAGGGAGGACCTGAGAGCACTGAAATTGTTTAGCCTGGAGAAGAGAAGGCTCATTAGAGATCTTTCTTGTGTGTAAAGATATGATGATGATGCCAGCATGTAAAGAAGACAAACACAGATTCTTCTTGTATTCAGTGACAGGACAAAAGGCAATGGACACAAACTGAAAAACAAGAAATTCATTTAAAACATAAGAAAAAATCTTTTTACTTCAAGGATAATTAAGTGCTGAGAAAGGCTGTCCAGAGAGGTTGTTGAGCCTCTGTCCTTGGAGACAGTCAAAAGCTGACAGGTCATGGTCTTTGGCAACCTGCTGTAGCTGGTCCTGCCTTGAGCAGGGAGATTGGGCTAGATGATCTCCAAATGTTCCTGTCCCCCTTAGCAAATCTGATTCATTGGCAGATAGCACAAGAAGCTGTGTTACTGGAACTGTAACTCACATCTGCACATGAAGGCAGAGGTGAATGTTGCATTAAGGCAGAGCAAAAATAGGGTATATTTGTGTGAGACAATTGTGTCAGAAGAATTTTTCTGTCAGGACTGGAAGAAAACAAATGTTCTTGTACTTGTGCCAGAAGTTTAGCGCTGAATTACTGAAAGGTAAAGAGAAATGACTTTCCTTGGAGTCTTGCAAAATAATCATAGCTATTCTTCCTGCTCTGGAGGAGCTGTTATTTAGAAAACCTTACTAAGCCTGGTGACGCATGTTAGAAAAGAGCAGAGGTGCTTGGGGTAACGCTGGGTTGACTGGGGAGCAGATGAGGAAATGCTGCCTGTGGTGGAGAGGACACAGATACCTGGGGTTAATTGCTAGAACTCAGCGAAGATGTAACCCAAGCGGTGCTTGGCCTGAGGGGTGATAAGAGCAGCTTGTGTTGGGTTCTGAGGGTGTCTCTGTGAGCACAGGTACTGCACTGGGAGCCCTTTTGCCTGTGCTGCCTGATGCTTTTCTCCCCTGGAGTCCTGTCCCTACTACTGTGGTCCAAGGGCTTTTCTGTCCAGCCACTTGTCCCCAAGGAATGGACAGTGGGCCTGGCTTGGACTTGTGAGGAAGCAGCAATAAAGCAGGAAGGATGCAGGATTAAAATGTTTTAAACATTTAAAACAAGTGATCTGGTAGGGAGAAGCTAGAGAAGCAGGACTGGGAAAGGGGAGCAGCAGAAGGCACTAGGATCTGAGAAACAAGGGAAACAAATAAGGAGAAATCAGTGGGAAGAGGGGAAATGAAACTGTAGGGCCCAGGAAAATCCTGATCCCCATCCTCTCTGGTAATGAAGACAGTCTCTACTCTGTTGCTGCTTTCCGTGTACATCAGTCCCCTCAAAGAGGGAATGTGGCCCATGCCTCCAAGCTCCAGCTCACCCTGTGCATCTCTTGTAGGTCCTGTGATGATATTAGAGGGCATTTGGCACTCGGAACTACTCCGCAGCAGTGGGAGGCTTAGTTTACATATACCCATATACATACGCATATATATAGGCTCAGTTTATAATATACCTGGTGCTCTTTGTTGGGCCGAATGGGCCTGTCCCCCAGGCAGCTCTTGCTGTTGGCCCTGTGGAGTGCTGCTCCCGATGTCCCTTCTGGGAACTAAATTAATTTTCAGTTGATTGTTTTTAAAGGCCAAAATTAAAACCTCTCCCAGTTTGTTTAATTCCTAGAATGACTTGGGTCACTTCTTCCTCTGTCTGACAACAAAATGGTATTGTCTGTCTCCAGGGAACGTTTCTGAAACAGGCAGCACTGTGTGAAACGTGCAAAAATGGGGAGATTCAGAAACATCCCTCCTGGAAAGGATCAGTGACATTAAAGATAGATGTAATTTAACTATCAGTCAGAGCAGTCTTAGCAAACACATGTATCATGATTTTAAGTATCATGATTTTAAATGTGACTGTGAGGAAAAATAAGCTAAAATTTATAGCTTAATTTTGCTGAGTGAAATAATAAATGGAGGAAATGTAACTTGGCTGGCTGAGCCCCTTGAGGTGGCTTCGTCTCGAGGCGGGCTTGTAGGTCAGGGTATCAGCTGGCTTGTGCATGCTTCAGAGCCTCCGCGACACGCTGCGGGGCGGCCTGCTTATCAAAACAAAAGATGATTAATACGGCTGCTCTCATCTAGTGCAGTGCTGAGCAGCATCACAGATTTATTTTAGTAGCCTGGTTCTGGAGCCAGCAAACAGTTTGTGAAGAAAACACCATGACAGGGCAATTCTGCTCAAAACTGCAGCAGTTTGGTTCTTTCATTTATGTAGGATCCCTTTGTGCCTCTGTAGTCCAAACAAGACACTTCAGGCATTAGTGTCCTCATCTTTTGCATAAGACCCAGCCTCCTGCCATTCCTTGATACAGCAGCCAAGACAGACGTCCTGAAACGCTTGTTCAGTGTCGCTTAAGAAACCTCTGCAAAGGGGGAACTGGAGCAGCTCTCCTGCAGTCCGTGCTGTAGCTGCAAAACTGGCCATCCCTTCCCTGAGGCCATAATGGTACTGGTAGCCTCAATGGAGCTTGTAGCATTAGTAGATCTTTTTAAAAAGGTCTATTACCTCAGGAGAATTGGGAGCAGGAGAAAAGGACTTGAATTTTTCCAGTTGTTCGGATAGAGCTTTGTTCTTGCTTTGAACCTCCTGAAATTACCATGCTGTGAATTAATGTTATGTGTGAACTGGTGGCTCCACAGAGGTACTGTAGAACATTCAACCTAAAGCAGTGAGAGAGGAGCAGACCCCTGTGAGTCAGACCCCTTTCAGCTGAAGAGCTACATCTATATGAAGGTTATTAGGTTAAAAATATCACACCCAGTGAAGTTGCTTTGTGTTTGGCTGTAGATAGGAGCAGAGTATAACCATTAGTCATCTGATTGCTTCCTGTACATAATATGAAGAAAAGAGGGATGGTGCAAAGCCTGAGGGCTTAAAGACTATGGAGGAGAAGGAAAGAACAGGATGCTGGGGCAGGGCAGGAGGGAGAGAGTGGAGAGGAGGATGGGAGGAGAAGCAGGTGAGTGCCCATAGGGGATGTGAGGGGATGGAAGAATAGGTGGGGTGTGGTAAGGGACGAACAGCAAGCTAGAGGCCACAAGCAGGAGCTTAAATCATTCCTCCTTCTCCAGGGGAAAGAAGTTGCCACTTAGCTGAGTCATGCCTGCCTGCCAGAGAACTGCTCTCCTGGCGTGGTGAGAGGAGTGGGGATGGTGCAGCCGAGAAGAGAGGACACTTCCCTTGTTCCCTTTGCGCCCGTAATAGCGGCGCTGAGGTGGCGTGGGTGGCCCTTCACGGCCAGCTCCTGCAGCGGGGACTGTAGTGCCTGGGCGGTGGGAGCCTTTTATAAAAGGCCCATCACATAGAAATGCCCTGTATAAAACCATTAAATCCAGTCGTTCACTGCTTCGGAGCAGTCAGGCCTTCACATTGCTTTGACAGTTTATGTAAAACAGAAGCGATTTGAGTTGCAGGGCATAGACAGAAATGTCAGTGTTTAGGTGGAGGGGTGTTACAAGGAGGTGTTTAATTTCCTATTTGATTTACACTTTATGAGGGTGTTTTGGGCTGAAGGTTTGCATACACGGGCTCGTGGCAGAGATTCGTGAAGCAGAAGAGCCAAATCTTGGGGAGCGAGCGAGGATGCTTGTCCTGCAGCAGGGACGGCCTGGAAAGGACAAATGCCACTTTTGATGGAATGTTCTGTACTACACCTTTTGCTTATAGATTTAGCTGTTGTTTTCAACTACATTTGATGACCCTTTAAATCTAACTTTCACTGTACTCACTCACAAATGACAAGGTAGGGAAGCCAGTTTTAGTATCTAAATAAAAAGTTGTTATCTGCTGAATGGAGACGACATTTTATTGCTGACAACGTCTATCCTAAGAATTAAAGTAATAGCACCTTAGAGAAAACATGCATTCATATTCAACACATTGCTACCATCTTTATCAAAGACCCAATGAAAATAACTCATCAGTTAACACATGAAAGGGTTTGGAGTATGGGCAGAAGGGGACGATTAGGATGAGGATGCATGCGACAGTGCAGAGGAGGGATGAGAACTGTCCAGAATACTCTGGCTTTTAATTCAGAAGTGCAGAGCATCTTGCAACTATGGAAGGCTGTAACGCAGAAGAAAAACAAGGGAAGGTGGTTTCCTCCAGTGCAGTGCAAAGCCCTGCTTGCATTGCCTTGCCTCCTGTAGCTGCTCTGGGTGAAGAAAGACCTGGACTGTGAGGGATGTGAGAACACACAGTAAGCTCTGCCTTTATGAATTTACCTAGGGGTCTCATGCAAAGTTGGCAAGCATAACACTGGAACACCTAATGAAAATGTTAATTATTAATCAAGTCCATGAGCATAGTGCTATATATAAGAAGGCTGATGTGCCAGAAAAATGCATTTTGCTATGCTTCTACCAGAAATGGGTTTCATTAGGTATGCTCCACCTTGCTTGGTAGCGGTAGCAGAGGAAAGCTTTCGTGTGAAATACAACACACTAAGTTGTCGCCATCGAGTCATTTTTAATGCGCATGGATGGCAGGCAGTAATGCTGCAGCCAGGGAATGCAGGAGGTAGAGGTAGAAACTGAACTATTGCTCCTTACTCTCCTGCTGATGTGTAGCTATAATGTGTATTCTTTTTCATATTAATACTGATAAATGGGAATACACTCACACCTGGAGATTTGATGTGGGGCACTGCTGTGACAGGCATGGTACAAACCTCTTGTGTGTCCTTGGAGCTCCCACAACTGCTAGTGAGAAGCTGTGTCATGTCAGATGCTGCTGAGCCAGCCTGCTCAGGACCATGGTGTGCAAATGAGGTTCACCTTAAACCAGTAGGAAGGGGAAGAGGGGAGAGATGGGATCCTGAACTGGGGAGTGCTCAGTTTAAAGCACTGAGCCACCAATCTGTGGTGTGATGTTGTACATACAACACAAACATTTTAGGTGTGTCTTATTTCCTGAATTTGTCCTATCAACTTCTGCACACCGTAAATAGACACTTGTATATTGTTTCTGCTCCTTTCATTAGTGTGTCATTTTTTCACCACAGTGACAAGTGTGTTTGATAGGATGGCAGATCCCCCTCTCAGCAGCTGCAGATATGCCGCTTGCATAGAAGAAAACCCTACAACTAGTTCTGCACAGTATTTTCCAACCACATGATGGTTGTCCTGGAGTCTGCTGCTTCTCCAGGGAAACTGAATCCTTGAGGTCCCTGCTGATAGGATGGATGGATACATACGTGTTACCTGCTGCACTTACCTGTGTTTGGGAGGAGTCCAGAACTGTGTTTATCATCACTGTGTTTTGGAAAAATCTCACAGTACGTGGATTCCTGGTGCACTGGGGCGAAGGCAGTGGCTGTCTGCCTTGCTTCCATTCATTCTTTGCCAGGCCGATAAAACTGGACTGCAGTGAGATTTGTCAGTGGTCAAGAGCATGAGAGATGGGTGACCACAGAGATGTTTCAAAAGTAGTTAGAGGAGAAACTTGACTGGCTTTTTCAAGGCTTTCTCCTTCTATAAGATATTCCAAACTGTCAATACAGATGGAGCACTTTAAGAACAAGGAATTCCTCTGAGACTAATAAAGCCTGTTTTTATGGATTTCTATCTCTTGGTTAACTGTGGGCTTAAGTGAAGCTTTACCAATGGCATCTATGGGTTCTGTTGCTGTGCAGATTCTGTAGTTCTTACTAAAGACTGGTTCAGTCTTTTGCCCAGCGAGGAGACAGGAATAGGATCTTTGTCCTGTCCGCAGCTGCCTCTTCCCACAGAACTTGTAGGAACCTGATTATCTGTAAAACCGCTCCCTCAGACGTGGTGGAGTTTGACAACAGGTTCAAAATGTATCTGGAGAAGAGAAGACCGTGTGAACAGGTCGCCTGTGCTGGGTGCAAAGTCAAATGGGCTTAGTAGCTGGATGTGAAAACTTGATGAAAAAAAAGGAACTAATAGTAGAAATAGTACTAATTAGAGATGGCCTATGAAGGCCTTTTGATGAAAGTAGATCCTTGATTTTGACACCTCTGGCATTGGAAGACATAAAAATTGAATGTCGCCTTCTAGACCTGCTCAAAATGAAGATGATAATTTCCTCTTGTAGTGACTTGGGTCTATTTGTGAGGTAAAATTCACTTTGATTTGCTTTCTCGTTTTGAAGTACTATTTTGACCACACATAACTCTGAAAACTTTTGCATGAAAAGCTCTGCAGAAAATAAGTGCATGTTAACATTTTGCCTCTAGCCAACAAGAAAAAAGAGAAAGAGCGTCCTGAGATCTCTCTTCCTTCAGACTTTGAGCACACGATTCACGTGGGGTTTGATGCCGTCACTGGAGAATTCACAGTAAGTAACCCCTGTATTGCACACTTACTAAAGCTTCTATCTTGCGATGGTAAGAAAAGCCTTCTGGTGCCAGAAACTTCAGATGACAGGAGCCAGGCTGTGAAGAGAGTGAGTTCTTTATTTCTTGGAATTTAGAGTGCTTCACTTCTGATTCAGGCTCCTTTTTTTTTTTTTTTTTTTCCTCCAAGGATTATCAGCAGAATGTCTGTGTAAAATGAAAACTGGGAAGAACATAGGTGTTTGCTTTTATCAGTCCTCTAGGCTGTTACAGGTTTTGCTTATTCACTCTCTTTGGGAAGGCACAGAAATCCTCACATAGGTGCACAGTATATGATTTTCTCTAGACAGTCACCCCCCAAAGTGCCAAGTCCAGCTGCTCTGCAGACAGCTCTTGGAGATGCTCAGAAAGCTGCAGTGTTGTCAAAGACCATTTATTTTAACTCGCTTCCAAAATAGCTTCATAGGCTGGGTGATCCCACACCTTTCTAGCCCATATGCAATAGCAAGGTAGCAGGCAAACACAAGGCACGTAAAGCATTGCAGGAAGTGAATCTGATGGAAGCTCCTCGACGTCTGCAGGGGACTCCAAAGCATTTGCTATCAGACCCCAGGGCATCAATGAAGCTCAGGCGACAGGCAGCTTGGCTTTGGCTCAGCTGGGGAAGCAAGAGGGAACCCAAGGGACTCCCCAGACTGCCAGGACCCTGTGAGCTAAGTGGTCAGACTGTGTTACCATCGTACGTCAGACTGTTGTGTGTGCTAGCGTCAACCGGCTGCATAAACCCAATGGCCCGGATGGGACAAATCAGATTCTTGGACAGAGGAGCAGTTTCCAGAATTTGAACCCCACGTGTTATTTTTTCCTCATTTTCCCATTGAGTGCTACTTTTTTCTTCTCAAAAAGTTTTAAAAAGCTGTAAAACTTAGTATAGGAGTTATAGCAGTAGGAGTTATCATAATATAAGCAAAAAAAAAAAAACCCACTTGTTTGATGGTAGCATGTCTTCTAAGGAGAACTGAAATCGAAACATTTAGAAAATAAAGTTGTACTTAGATTAATTAGTTTTTTAAAAAAATAGACAGCACTTCTTTTTTAAATCTACCTTTAAAACATATTTAGTGCTGAACTCTGAGGCTTGATTAAATGGTCATTTAAAATGTCCAGATATGCTCATCTTTGTTCAGAAAACATTCATAAATCTGCTACTTCAGAACTTTCTAATTTTCTTCTGTACTATCCTAGTTTCTACTCCTTTTTCTTCTGTCTCTCCCTGTAACTGCTTCATTGTCCAATTTTAATTTTCTTACTAGCACAATTTTTTCCTATTACTTTAAAAAAAAGTTACTCCTTTCTATTTGTATCCCTTACTTCCTTTCATCCTACCGTGTTTCACTGCTCTATCCATTGCACCGTCATTTATTATTCATCCTTTTCTGTGTTCTTCCTGCTTTTCAACCTTCTACCTTGATCTCTGCCTTCACTTCAAACCCTTTTCTTCCAGTTCTGCTCAAACAAAGATGGGGCACAAGCAGGTCTTTGGCAGTTGGTGACAACAGTCCCAGTTAATTTGGTATCCCCATTAGTTGGAGCAGAAAGGAGGGAAGCAGCGGTCAATACATTTCAGTTCTGAACACTAGTGGAAGAACACTAGTTCTTCCAAGATTAATTATAACTTTTATAAACTACTATGTCAAAACAGTTAATAGCATCAGACTTTTTTTGATTTTTGTGTTAGATGCTGCATACCCAGGGCCCAGCCTTCTGCAGAATGCAAGACTTGTTCTTGGCTGAGTTTATGTAGCTTAACTCCTGTAGCAGCAATTGCTTTTTAATACATTTCTCCCTTTGTCAGTGAAAATGAGCTGGTAGTTGTTGCTGCAAGCGTGCTCCTTCCTAAAACTGGGAGGGCAGCGCTGCGGAGTGGGAAACCTAGAGCAGCCCCAGGGCCGGGTGGCCCCACGCAAGTTGGTAGCACACGGCTTGACTTGCAGGCCTCAGCGGAGCAAAATGTTGGCCAGACCGATGGGATTTTGCACTTTTAAGGACTAGCCATCAGCCCCCGAGTAATCCCCAGCCACAAGGATTGTGTTACGTTCAGCACCTCTGATTTGTCCCAACCTGGATACAGCTTCTGTGTCAGCCAGGCTGTCATGTGGTAAGTACCTTTGCTGAAGGGACTACCACTAGCCACCATTTAAAAATATTCCCACTGTCTAGTGATCACACTGTCTGTTTCCTTTGAAAGTTTGGAAGTGCCATGGGAATGTGTAATAAATGTGCAAATAGCTATTTTTTTTTCCAAATAATTACAGTTGTCATGTCAATAGCATCTCCTTTGCTGCATTGCAGTGCACTGAACAGTTTTCTGATGCCTAATGATCATCCCCTTGGCTGTATGACTTGATTTGCTTTTGGTTGCATCTCAAAAACAGAGTTGGGAAAACCTGCATGGGCTTTTGACACTTGGTTTTCAGCACCAAAGTGTGTTGTTACTCATGAACATTATGTTATATCTCCATTTCAGTCTGCTTGGAGCAACCACACTTGCCATAAAGTAGGACTTAAAGTGCAAAATAAAATGATTTGGAAACTGTCAGGTGGGAGCATGCTTCTAGGGCTTAATGGGGATTTATTTTGAAGAAACAGTTGCATTTTCTGAATGGAGGAAAAGGTGTGGTTTGCACTGGATTTTGCAGTGCATGCATTTTTGAAACAGCTACCTGACCCCCAACCTAGAAAAAAAAACTGGTTACTCACCAAACTTTGAAAGTTTACATGTTCTGACAATAGCAAGTGGGAGAAAGTGGTGGGTATTACAAGTCCAGAGAAGTTTTACATTTTTAATCTAAGCAAGCATCTCTTTAGAGTTGTCCTGGTTTTCAGTCTGGCACGTGTAGATTATTTGGATTATAGCAACGCACAGGCTCCAGAGTTGAAACCTGAGCTTAACAGCTGCTTTCTCCATTGCACTTTGTAAACTTGTGCACTAGTCAGTTGTCATCTGAGGGATGGAGAACCACTGGACGAATTTGTGTAGGACCATTCAAAACCGCTAGCTTGACTTCAAAAACTAGTTGAAACAGTTGAAGTCCAAATATTTCCTTTTATTATTATTTTTTTTAACTCAAAAGAGTAATCACAGTTTTTCCAATCACTCGCTGTTAAACCTCAGTAATGTATTTTTTTGTAGGGGAGAGAAAATCTGTTTTAAAAAGAAAGGAGGGGGAAATGATGCTTCCAAACTTTGAACCAGTTGTGATTTTTCTGTCTATCCTAAACCTACCTCCCTGTAGCCTGTCCAGCACCTGATCTGTTTGGTGTACCTACCTCATAACTCCCATTTTAGATGGGGGTTTCCCCATTTTGGCCCATTGGTTTCACTTCCTACCACCTTCTAAGTTGTCCCGCATTCTGTTTTAACTTTCTTTTCTTTCTTTATTTACGTCCATTACAGCCAGATCTCTATGGCTCACAGATGTGCACAGGGAAGCTTCCAGAGGTGCGTCACAGGCCCAAAAGAAGCTTGCATCAAAGTGCTTCTTTGAGATGTCATAGCACTGCAGCAGCAGGTTGATGTGTGTGCAGTAGATTTGTTGCTTGGCTTATCCCACTTTTTTTCATTAATCTGAAACTCTGGAGGCCCATGTCACACATTGTTTTGCTGAGAGCTTCTTAGGAAAAGGCCATATTAAAATATTTATCTAGATTTGGGTGGCGCCAAGGGTAAGCATAAATGCACTTCAGGTGTAGCTTTTTTTTTTTTTTATTATTATTATTCCCAAAGCCCTATGATTCACTGATAGATGTTGGTTTTGCAGTAAATGGGGAAAATTACAGGCTCTCAGATTTAGGAAATTATACTGGATATTTAAAGCAATTCTCATCAAAATAATTTCAACCTAGAGTTGCAGCTTTCAGCAACTGGACCCATTTTCAGATGCCACCCTCACTTTTAACGTGTTTGAGAATTGGTGCAAGGCCTTGGCACTGTCCATCCCTTTTCTGACTCCTTGGTTTCCATATATTTGCAACAGAGAATATAGAGAGCTGCCAGAGCTCTAAACCAAGGCATCCTCAGCAGCAGCTGCATTACAGCTAAGTGCTACAGTTGAGTTTAAATGCAGATTCTTAACTCCTCAGTGCTCCCCTGATATGCTGAAAATAAGTGTATCAGGGTGGGATTTACCTTCTAATCGGAGAGCAGTAATCACTTCAGCAATGTGTATTTGCACTATTAAGCATTAAAAATCCAGTCTAAAGCTCCTAAAATATACTGTATTGTCCACAAATCTAGAGTAGTCTTGTTATGTCTGCACTGAATCACCAGGAAAACAAGCTAAGCCTTAAATCATTATTCCATGGAAAAGCAGAGTTGATTTAAAGATGAGTTTCATGCACTTTTTTTCCTGTCACAGTCATAACTTTCTTTTCTTTTTAAAGTTGGATCCTGGTTTTAGCTCTATATTTTGATAGAGAAGAGAATGATTGCATCTACTGTATAAGCTTCTAATTTTAAATATAAAATGTCAATCAAAAATTCTGAAAGTAATCTTACAGGTAGCATGGGATCTTGGTAAAGAACTGTAGTACTCTGACTTTTGGATGATCTAAATTAGTATTTTTTCCTCTTGACATCTGCAGGGCATTCCAGAGCAGTGGGCCAGGCTACTACAGACCTCCAACATAACAAAACTAGAGCAGAAAAAGAACCCACAAGCAGTTCTAGATGTCCTCAAATTTTACGATTCCAAAGAAACAGTTAACAACCAGAAATACATGAGCTTTACTTCAGGAGGTAAGTGGACATCTCTCTGCGAAAAGGGAGTGTCGGGCCCCAAAGGAGGCAAGCTGAAGCTCAGGGAATTTCAGTGTCAGAAACAACTTGAGAAAAAAATTGCACTCAGAGACAAAGATTGAACACTATTGAAATGAGTTAGTCCCCAAAATGTGTTTTTATCAGTTGTTTTCAGAGATAGATGAGATGCTAGATGAGACAGTCACTGCCATTTTTATACAGAAACTATAGGTATAAATAGTCAAAAATAATATTTGCTTTCCTTTTGCTGCTTCTTTGCATCCTCGTTGCTTCAGTGTTCAGATTGAGATAAAAGGTATATGTTTTTGTCCATTGTATGAGTAGCTCTTGGATCCTAAAAGCAATTGATTACAGCCTCAACTACTTTTAGATTGAGAAGAATTTTCAAAGAATTTTGTACATCAGTTGTAGGTATAATTAGTTTTCTATGCATAAATGCACAAATCAATACAAAACAGCTGCTGTCATGGTGTCCTGAAGAGGGATTTGACCACAGCAAATAAGAAGGGTGGCAATGCCCAGAGTAACCTCCATAACACATTCATGCTGTGAAGTTCCTCATGATCCGAGAATTACCACTGAAGAGCCTAGGGATGTGATGTTGCTGTAATTTTTCTTTTGGTTGTGGACAGTATGCAAAACCATAGCGGAGCATTGCAAAAGTAAGAAAGCAAGTATATCCACCCAAATGTCAGTTCACTTTGTGATGAAATGCAAAGCTCAAATGAGTTGAGTGTGTGTTGCTGAACTCAACATTTGTGTTACCAAAAGTTGGTGAAATGGATGTATTCCTGCCCAGCCTAAGAAGGAAGAAGGTGTAACATCCTCGTGGCGTTGTGGCTGTGCAGTGTCACAGCTGAGGGCAGTCCTGAGGAAGCTTTCGTGGAGAAGTGTTTTTAGCAAACTAGGGAGGATCAGGGCAGGCAGTTAATGAGGGAATATTAAAAGCTGCCATAGCGTTTGGGCAGAAGTGTTGGATGTTAAAGAGCAACTTGCATTTTCTTGACCATTTTTTTCTTGCATTTTATTTGCTGGCAAGACTGAGCAAACAATTGCTGCAAGAAACTGTAGAAAAGGAGTAGCAGTTTCATACTGTCCTCTTGCTTGCTATGTTAAATAACTGTTTCCACTGAAGGGATATGAAAGAAAAATGATGTCAGTTGGGATTCGCTTGCTCTGTGGGATTCCTCACGACAGGCCCTGTTGTAACAAGCGTCTGGTTCCTTTTCCTTGCCTGTTGCAGATAAGAGCGCCCATGGATACATCGCAGCCCATCCTTCGGTGAGTGTGACAGCAAACCTGCACCTCTGTAGTGCTCAAGGACCCCAGTGCAGGCTCTTGGCTTGGAATTGTGTGAAAGATGCCAACCTCTTAGGCTGAGGGAAAGTTCTTCTTAGCCTTGTTGTGACAGCAGGAAAGGAATCACTGGCTGTTTTCTAATTTTCTATATAAAAACTTTTAAAAACAGATGAAATTCAGGATCTGCAGATGAAGATAACTCTGTTCTTAGCCGTGGTGGACTATGTAATTTGCAACAGTAAGCTGTACTGTCTAATTAGGCTCTTTTTATATAGTTTTAACAACTTAAAATCCATTTCTGTTAACTTTTATGCTTTTTCTTCAGTACAGCTGGATATGTAGCTGAATCCAAATAAGGTTATAATTGATATGTAACTCACTAAAGCCACTGAAACAAATTTTTAAGTAATGATCCACTCTAATTAATACTGAATTGCCATAGAAATCTCAAAGATGTGCTCATGACATCCTCATTAATACTGACCGAATTTATCAGTGTTAATGTTAGTGCATTAAATAGCAAATGATTGAATGGGGATTTGGCCTTTATTTTCGAGGGTTAAGCAACTTAATTTTAGGTTTTTGATTACACAGTGGAGAGTGTATATAATGAAATGAAAATCACCATGGAATAGTCGCACTTGCAATTTTAAATTGATGCTACTTCCATTACCCTTAATAAAACAGACTTTTAAGAGGAGTTTGAATTTCACTGGAGCATAGTGAGGCCTTTCAAATAGCCATTTCCAGCAGAGATGGAGACACTGGCAGTTGCTGTGGGATTTTGTTCTTATAGACACAACCAGCAACGAGACTGTTGGGATGCTTAGAATAGCTTGTGTATCATTCTCTGCTTTGGCCCTCTTAGCAGCTGGTTTTACCCATTGCCCTTAAAAGTGAAGCAATAGAGCTGATCCTTCTGGAAAAGGTGCAGTTGGATGTATCCACCAGTGTGTTGAAGTACAGGGGAATTAAAGCAGCAATGCAGTGATCTCATCAAGAAGACATGCGGGGAAGATTAGTCCTCTTCCTACCCATCCCCAGTGGCCCTTCCTGCACTGCCCTAAGTGATGCTGTTTTAAAGATGATCCCAAAGCGGTACAAATGTGTAGAGCAGCACATTTGAGCCACTTAAATTGAGCTGCTGCTGCAGCCACGCGCGCTCCGGCGGGACCTGCACCTTCCCTGCAGTCAGGGGCACTCGCGTGCTGGTGCCGGTGCAATAAAAGCCAAAGCAATTGCAGAAATATCCAGGTGTTAGCTTGTGATTAGGGCAGGATGAGGATAGTGGTGGAAAAGGAGCTGCTAAACAGGGAAATTCAGCACTGTGCAAATATGCAATAGGATTACCCCAAGGGGAAAATAATACAGAAACAAATAGCCCTCGTCTTCAAAACCAAATTCCCAGTAAGACAGTGAAGGAGGCTTTGTGCTTTGAAGTGTGTTAATTAACTTAGCCAGAAGACACCTGGTAGTGTAATTAACTGTTACCGTTCCTGCAAACAAAATGCCAAAGCCATTTACCAGAAACTACGTGGCATTTCTAAAGATATATTCAAGTATTAGTCTTCATTAATTTAGTCTCTGACTGAGCATGGAAAGAAACAATGTAGTTGTTTCTATTTAATTTAGTGCTTCAGCCGTGTTTATATGGCACAGTTCAGTAGCTCACTGTAGTTTACTAAACTGTAGTTTACTGTAAATAAATAAAGAGCAAAAATGAAAAACACAGAGATGGATTAACCAAACCGCATGGTAATTCATAACTGTAAAATTTTAGTTTGCCATGTGTAACCTACAACTGAGGCCTCTAGACTTTAGGAAAGCATAGGTTGGTTTGTCACCCCCAAATGGACTAAGTCATGTGTAATTACCAAACCTTTCAGGTGCCAAACACAGAAATTATCACTCATGCTTTCCTCTCCACAGAGCACAAAGACGGCATCAGAGCCCCCACTAGCTCCCCCTGTTTCTGAAGAAGAGGATGAAGAGGATGAAGAAGAAGAAGATGACAACGAACCTCCACCTGTTATTGCACCACGGCCTGAGCATACAAAATCAGTGAGTCCCAGCTTTGGTTGGGAATTTTTATTGTATAATTCAGAGCTGAGTGTTTCCAATCAGGCAACACATGCTGGGTTTGGATGAAGGTCTTGAGAGCTGGAAGCCTACCATGGGTTATTGCTTCACCCAGGCCACTAATGCCAGGAAAACTTGCTTTGTTTCTTGCTTAATTCTCGATTTCCCAAGATAAGAACTCTGAATTTTATTTTAGTGTCAGATAAGGATAGCATTGTTTATCCTGGTACTCGCACTACTGGTGTAAAAGTGAGCAACTTTGAAGAATCAGTGTAGACCCCCCCAGTTGTTGGTGGAGACAGGCCATGAGAGGCAGTTCATATGCAGGAGAAACTGTCACCTGGAGGTACCTGTCTTCCTCCACTCATTGTAGGAGGAGCTGATTATTACCTGAATATACAGCATACTCCTATCTTTTCTAGACCGAAATAGACTTAGTTTGGTGAGAAGAACCCAGGTGTCCGCTGAAACACTGGCATGAAGTTCCCAGTTTCTAATGCTGCTCCCTAAAGTCTGAAACAGTGGTGAAAAGTCAGTTCAAGAGTTACGATCAGTAAAGAGATACCGTCGCTGCGTTTATGCAGGGAAAGTTAAGACGTGTATTAATGGCTAAAATGAGTTTTATTGCGCATTTGTTTTGCTTGGTCTGCAAAGGCTCAGAGCCTCTGCAGGGTGAGCAGTCACTGGTGCCATCCATGGAATTTTTAACAAAGTTCCATCTAAGGCGTCCTTTTATTACATGTGAAAACAGATGAGCCAGGAGTCAAGGCTGCCAGGCCCTGAACAGATTTGCTCCTGAATCCATGACGCGCAGTAAGTTCATCCTCTCAGTCATCTTTCAGAAAATCTAGAGCAATGAAAACTGAAAATAAACTGGACATGTGTATGTATAAAACTGGTCTTCATTTTTGCTCAATACAGTTTGAGCAGTGGGACAGTGAAAACAAGTATGTTGAGAGTACTGTATAACCAAGAAACAGAATTTGGACTTCATTTGTTTATAGTGTGATTTTTAGGCAAACAGTATCATAAAAATTTGTGTTTGAAATACAATCTCAGGGGTATCTCTGCAGACTGCTTTTCTGACGCAAAATAATTTCCTGTCTCAGATCTACACACGCTCTGTAATTGAACCTGTTGCGGCACCAGCACCAGCTAAAGAAGCCACCACCCCCCAGCCTGAAAACTCGAACACAAACACTTTATACAGAAATACGGACCGGCAGCGAAAAAAGTCCAAGATGACAGATGAGGAGATCCTAGAGAAGTTGAGTAAGTATCCAGTATGCCTCGTTTGGTAAGATAGTGTGGTGTGGAGGTGTCTTAGGACTACGTGTACCGAATGTTTATCCTCATTTCAATGTCACAGGGCACCAACAACTCCATATCCAAACTGCTACTGTGCTTGGAAGAAGAGAGAGCACTGGGCAGCCCTTCTGCCTCTGAGGGCATTTGTGGCTGGGTCATATTTGTCTGAGCTGCATTCTGTGCTGAAGGCCAAAGAGGAGATTTTTTTCTGGTTGAGTAGAAGGCTGTGCCTTGGTGAACGGCCTACTGAGCTCCCTTCTGTTGAGGCCCAAATTCAACAGAGTATTTGGTTTCCTAAATTCTGCTTAGGCTCTAACTTCTCATCAGTCATCAGAGCCAAAGTACAATTACTACTGTTGTTGATCTGTCATTCCTGTGCTGAACTAACCTCTGCTGTAACTGCCCCATCACTGCTGGCTTGTGTGACTGCAGGCACTGCAGCCTCAGATGTGAGACTGCAGGTGCTTGTGTAGAGTTTTAAGAGTTTTTCTTTAGAGAAGATGAAATCCATTAATGCATTTATTCCCGAGCTGGTGTCACCTGTGTGTCACCTTATAAAGAGAGGAATTAGAGTTCCTTCAGCTGAGGTTAAGTGTTTGAGAGGGGTTTCTTAACGTGAAATTTGCAGGTATACTGCATACATGAACATAAGAATATATGTTATTTTTTTGAGCTTCTGTGTAGCTCAGATTAGGACTGAGCCATATCACAAGTTTTATCTTTGAATGTTGCAGGTCTTATATGTATTCTCTCTTAAGATTTTTGTACTCTGTGAGCCAGATCTGAAGGTCTGGCTTTGGCAAATTGCATCATAGATACTGAAAATCATCTTATACTTCCACAAAGCCATCCAAAAACTGGATAATGCCCTTTTATTATAGTCCTGGGCTAATTATATTTAAGCACATGTGCTTTTTTATTTATTTAGTCATTTAGATGACTTCTCCACCTTTCCTAGTTCTTCCACAGTTGGTTTTCTTCTACTTTTAGGAAGACATTCCCTTTCGTCTTTTATCTTAAATTGCTTTCATAACTCTTTTCTACTTGAAATAACTTCTGCCTTTTTAGAGCCACTTTCATTACAAGTTTTACTAGGGAGTAAAAACTGTAGTTTTGAGATAAGATCAAATGAAATTCTGCCTGTAATGAAACCTTGAATATGTTCCACTGTAATTATAAGACATAAATGGCCCAGATCTGCTTTCTTAAGTACTTGATATTTAGGACTTTAGGACTTGATAAAGGAAAGTGCTAAAGATGTCAAAAGAGTTGATGTGTTTATCTTTTGTCCAGAATGGGAAGTGCTTTTCTGAACTGCGACCACAGCCCAGGCTATTGGTTTCAATTCTGTCGCATTTGATGTGCACAAGAAAACAGCCACAGGCAACTGACCTGCAAAAGTAGCTACTCAAGATCTGAAATCTGCACTGCAAAATCAGTGGCATTTTTGGAATCATACTAAAAATATTTGTAGTTGAGTCTCTTTTTCTCTATTCTTTTCTAACATGTGCTTCCATGAACTTCTGATATTTGTCCTGGTAGAAACATCATGCCATTAACTAACTGAAAATAGCACCTAGGCAGGCAGTGACAACACGGGATTTTCCCTGCCACCCAGCCTGGGATGACGGCAGGACTTGGTTCAGTGCTGCAGAGATGGGCTGAGGACCATGAAGTGCAGCAGTGTGAGCCTCCATCCGCACGAGCTTCCTCCCAGTCACATCCTTGGCTTTCACTTGGTTTAAAGGACCAGATTCCTCTGGTCACGTTCTTCTCTGCAAGATTATTTTATACAGAAGAACTAGTTCAGTGAAGTAGACAGCAAGCTCTTCTTCCGTTACACATGTCAATGAGTTCCTACTTTGTATCTTCAAGAAGTTTTGCTGCTAAGCAGCAACTACAACCTTTGCTGGCTACTCTCATCCCTTGACTGGAGCAAAATAGAAAAAGTTACTGGCTCCCAAAGAGCGTCTTGGCTTTGGCTTGGACTCCGACCAGTGCCATTGGGATAATTCTCACAGGTTGGGATGTCCGGGCAGGATCACTTCATGCTGCGTTGGCTTCCTCAGCCTGCAAGGTCCCTCTGAGGGAAAACAGACAGAAACCTCTTCCCCTGCAGCTCCCAGTTAGCACCCTGGCCGTGGCCAGCAAAAGCCTCAGCAGGACTGGACCAGATGGGATTGATGCCTCTTCTTGCTGCATTGGCAGGCTGGGTTTCTAACTGTGCATCCCGCCACATGCCCGTTTGGATGCTAAAAGCATCCAGAGATATGGCCTAGACAGAAGAGAGAAACGTGTAGGTTGATACTTGCAGTGAGAGGCACATCACATAGTTTTGATTTGAAAGCACTGGTGAATAGATAGGTTTTGTGTTTTTATTTGTGATGGAGGAATGTTGCCAGATCACTCAGACAAAATGTGCAGTCGCACATTGGGTGTTTTTGCTCCGAAGCTAATCTGCTCTCAGGATTTCAGTGATGTGTGTTCTAAGCTAAATCTTTAGAAGGCATTTGCATTGCCATTAACCCATCAGCTTTTGCTTCTCCTCCTTGTTTGTATTTTATCTAGGAAACTAGTGGACCAGAAAAAACAATATTGTTTTTTAATTATTCTGTCGGATTTGTTTATCAGATTTTGGCTTTTCCATCTCGTACAAGCAGACTGTCCTAATCAGGGCCTCCCTTCCTTCCCGTTCAGGCTGCCTATGCCTCAGAGCGCGTACGCGGCTGCCCGCTCTGTGTGCTCTGGTTTAACCCTGAGCGGCCTGTGCGCTGCAAACCCGCCTGGGACGGGCACGTGCCGTGCCCTGTGCGGTGCCCTGTGCAGTGCCCTGTGCAGGGCTGTGCCCAAGGAGCCGGCCGGTGCCCGGTGCTGCAGCGAGGAGCCGCCGGGAGGTGGCAGCAGCCCATCTGGCCTGGCCTGCGCCTCACAGGGAGGTTGTCGGCTTCGTATTGTGCAGCAGTCTCTATAAAAGTCGTTCCTTGCAGGGTGTTGCTGTTCCCGCTACCCCTCACAGGTTCCTTTGGGGTGTGGGCGTCAGTATGTGTAGACTGCAGCTCTTCTGTGGTGTGGGACTTCAAGTGACACAAGCAAGGTCGTCTTCATACCTTGGCCTCTGTAGTGAAGTGTAAGGGTCATAATTCTTAAAACCCCATAGTTAATTATGATGTTGGCTGCTCCACTCCAAAAGGCAAAGCCATTCTTTTGGGCAACTGCTGAAAAGTTGACAAGATCCCTCCCTGGAAACACTTTACTGCTACATTTAATCATTGAAAGTGTTAAAGACTCTGTGTGAGTCTGCAGAGTATTTATTTGGAAGGAAAAAACCAAGTGGTTTTGTTATTCCAGCTCTTGTTAGCACTTAAACAGCAAGCCCTTGCACTAGTGTTCGTTCTTTGTTCATATCTGTCTCCTGAGAGTGTTTCTTCATGCTCTCGCTTTCCTGCCAACTTTCACAGACCGAGGTACCCTTCAAAGGGCTGTAGAAAACCAGTCTCTGTGGAGGCCACCAGCACTTGGGAGCTGCCACTCTAACCAGCCAGCAGCTCAGAAGCCCATACAGAGCAGTGGGGTCTCTCAGGGTAGGAGGAATCTCCATTTTCAAGTGAACTTCTTTAATTTTGTTTCTTGCAGGAAGCATTGTGAGCGTGGGAGACCCGAAGAAGAAATACACTCGATTTGAAAAAATCGGCCAAGGGTAAGTCCAGTCACAGTTAGTTACAAAAAAATACAGGACAGATACCTTGCTGGTGTAGTATCAAGTGTGAAGTTAGGCAAGATCCAACACATTTGAACCCAGGGTTTAGCTTCTCTTGTGTTGCCCAGTATTTTTGTAGTAGCCAAAATGAATCATCAAAGATACCTTGCTACTGCTGTTGGTGTCTCCTTTGCTAAGACTACTAGCACTTGGAAAACTTTTGTTGCCTAAAAGAGCAACCTATCACCTAAAAGATGCTGGGTAAGTAACAGCTAACAATAACATTTATTTTAAATAAGAGACTCCCTGCTCAGTCAGAGCTTCCTGGGCTGTGTTGTAATCCCAGAGGGAACCCCACTTGTGCATGACCAGCATCGTCTGCTGTCATCGTGTGGCAGTCTTCTTTGATGTTGGTGGATACTTTTCTGCCTTAACTATTTTGTCAGATTTGAACTTGGGGTAGTGTGTTGCTGACCTACAAATGGTATATGCTGAGGAAAGCCAGACAGGCTCATGCTCTTTCTGTGGAAGGCTTTATAGTAGAAATATTTTAATTGATAGAGCACTCGTGGTAAGATGATTCTATGCCATTCCTTGTATAACTCTCAGACTCCAGCTTGTTTTCTACACTGAGCTTTGATTCTTACTGCCATTTATCAGTGGACACCTCAGGTTGTGCCAGTGTCTCGAAAGAAAAGTGTTAGCTGAAATAGTGAGATTCAGAATAAATATGTGTAAAGGAGCTTATTGCTGTTACCAGGAGACGATGACCATTGTATCTGGTCCTAAAAGGGCCTCTAAACTGCAGCACTTGTAGTAGAGTATGAAGATTTCTGTACCCTTGGAGTAGAGGAGTGTGTCAGTGTAACCAGCTTTTGACCAGTGCAGCCAGATTGACTAGCAGAGCTGGGCGGTCAGATTCTAAAAAATCATCCCGGGGACAGTATATGGGATGTCTTCAGTATCTGAGTAGCTACTGCGATGAACAGTTGAATGTGAGACTGTTACACACCTTCATTTGGGTTTCAAATACATGCAAAGCTCATTGGTTTGCACAGGCCTTGCTCTGTCATTATCTAAATTACAATATTTTTTCCTCACAAATGCTCAAACAGCGAGTGCGCTCGCTAGAGTACTTCCCTCAGATGAGTTCATCCCACAGGATGCACATCAGGAATCATGCACTGTGGGAAAAGGCAACCTGTTGCACATCTCTGAACATGTTTCAAATTACAAATGTATTGAAGAGCATTCAAGCATATTAGACAATGTTGGCAGCAAAGAGAAAAAGAAGGCAGTTTATTGCTGCTGGAGCTGTGACTTTGCAGTTGCAGAGTGCGTTGGCTGCTTAAGCTAAATGTGGAAAACTGCTGATCCCCTGCTGCCTGTGGTACATGTTCTTTCTCTTTAGCATTTTACACAGTAGCAGGAGGAAAGGTGGGAAGTGGGGGAGAGGGCTGCAAGAGAGAGGAGCCAGAAGAGTCTCTGTCCGCATTTGAAGTAGAGGTAGTGGCAGTATGTGTCAAATACTGCCCTACCTTCAAGAGTGCAGCTGAGAAAGTAACATGGGGTCAGGGCAAGCACTTGGTTTCAAAATTAGTTAATCAGTGCTTGATAAAGAGGCAGTGCTAGCTCAAGCCGTGCTCAGCTCCTGCTATAAAGATAAATGTGTGGAGCCATGAGCAGCCTGGGTTTGGCTTTTTTTTTTTCCCCCAGTTTGTGCTGCGCTGTATCACAGTGACACAGATCTAATTGCTGGCTCTGGTACTTGCCTAACTGTGTTAGAACCAAGATATTACAGAAGAGTTTAAAAGTTAGATACAGATCAGAAATTACAGCTGCTTAGAAATAAAAGTCCCTAATGCAGAATCACAGAGACCTTGCAATTAATTCACAGCTTTACTTAAATTGTTCACCTTTATCTAAACTCTTCACAGATGGCCTGGAGCAAACCAGAAAGCGTCCTGATTTTAAATAGCTGTTTTTAAATAAAACCTGACAGGACTTTGCTCGGGAGGTACAACACATGTTAGCAACTCAAAATAAATGGTTTTGGCTTTTTATGAAGCAAATTGGATTAATCTCAACAATTAGTCATAGGAAAATGCATTTGCATTTATATTAAAAGAAGACACAGCGTGCCGGATGATAACACTGTTCCCGACACGGGTACGCGCTCTCCGGTGCCTGTTAGTTCAAGCGCTTTGCAAGTGTTTCAGCCTGAGGTGAACGGGAGCAGGGGTGCTGATCACGTGCAACGGGGCGCCCGAGCCCCGCGGTGTTTGTGCTGCGTGCGACAGGGCTGGGCGAGCGTTCCCGCTGCCCCTGGCTCCACCTTCCCTGGGCTCTCCCGCACCTTTGGGGATGATGGCAGCATAAAGGTGAGGAAGAGGCACCCCAGGAGGGTGCACGAGCCCGTGGGACCCCTTGCTTTCCAAGCGAGGGCACTGCTGCTGAGCGTGGCCTTCCCAGCCTCTCGCTGCATTGCAGGGAGGAAACGGCTTCCCAGGAGCGTGGCGGCAAAGGCTGCGTCCAGCTTCTCCCTTCAGAGGGAATTCCCAGAAAGGCTCTGGGATGTGGGCTCTGTTTCGTCTGTTCCATATCTGAGATGTAAGAAGGTGCCACCAGGAGTGGCCAGGCTGCCTGGTGCGTTTTCTGGAGAGTGGGAAAGAGCCATGAAAATGGAAGGAACTGAAATAAATAGGTTGTTTTTCCAGGTTTTTGTGGCAAAAAGACAATGTAGAAACTCCTGCCCGCTCTCTTTGGGTTGAGTGTGGGGGTTTTGCTCGGCTCCTGCGCCGCTGGGGCCTGGCACTCTGCACGGGTGGTTGGCGCGTGTGGGGCCCGGGCTGCCCCTCACCTCTCGGCCGCTTGTTTTCCCCTAGGGCCTCGGGCACCGTTTACACAGCGATAGACATCGCCACGGGACAGGAGGTAAGTGCGGCCGCCCTGCGTGCGAGCGCCAAGGCGGCTCCTCCTAGACATGGGCTTAGCTGCAAACCAGCCTCTGCTGGCAGTGGCCCTCAGGCCTGATCAGAACTACCTAATTTTTATTGCCAGTGGAAAGATACTGGTTTAGAAATTGTTTATCTGCTTTTTCCCAGTGCAGATAAAGGCAGGCTCTTACAGAGTACATTTGAGCCTAATTTAACTCTGTAAACTTACAGCATAAATCCTTTCTGCGGATCTGGCCATAGATTGATTATCAATGCAAATTGCTAAATCTAAAGACTGTCATAAGCGAAGTCTTGTCACAGGTTCCCTGTGCAGAGCAGGGATGAGGCTGGGCAAACTTTATCTTTATTAAGAGCTGCTGCAAGGAGGGAAACAACACCCCTTGGAGACACGCCTTCTTGCTCCATTGTAATTACTGAATATATTAATGCAACAGCTAGCTAATGGAGGTCGGCTTTAGTCCCAATTCATCTTATTCGGAATAGTAATACTAGTTTGAACTTTTTATTCCATAGTATGTTTTGTCTTTGAAGTGTAATACAGGTACTATGTAAAGATAGATCATGTTTAGGAAGCAGCTGCCTGTTTTAGTCATGTTGAAGCTGGTTGACAGGGGCACCCTGCTCAGGTGCAGTTTGTTACCTCAGGAAGTCACTACAAATATCAGTGATGCAAATATCAATGATACAAATATCAATGATGAAAGTAGTGATTTTCAATGTCATTTTAGGTGGCCATAAAGCAAATGAATCTTCAACAACAACCCAAAAAGGAATTAATTATTAATGAAATCCTGGTCATGAGGGAAAATAAGAACCCCAATATTGTTAACTATTTAGACAGGTAAGTAGTGCTGGTGTTAGCATTTGTAAGTTCATTTGCACACTGCAGGCCAAAGGCTCAGAAGAATAGTGAGCCTTTGCCTTCCAGCAGATAAATGACCTGCTTATTTTTTATATATACTGTGATATACATATATACATATATACATATATGTGTGTGTATATATATATATATTATATACAAGTTATATATATATACATTGTATATATACAATAATATATATGCACACACACACAAAAGAGGAGGTTGCTCTTTATCTGCATTAATTTTTCTTGCATATGCAGTTCAAAGACTGTTTTTGAAAATCTGGATCAGTCATATCTCACTAAAACAAATGCCTGTGACTCCACTTTCTCCAAGATATTTTAGTGGGACATATTTTCTGTATATTCTGATAAATGCTGATAAATCATCACAGGAATTATTTCCCTTGGAATATTCCCTTATTTTCCACTGCTGTGGATGCCAGGAAGACAAGGTTCTTGTTTCCAGACAAACATCATTACCAATTTTTAAGTTGTTTTCTGTTTCTGAATGCACTTTGTGTAACATTTTTCAAACTGTTGACGAATTTCTTTGCTCAATGGTATGCGACTTCCCACCTTGGACAGTTAGCAAAGTTTTGTCCTGCTGTTTCTGGAGTTAATGATGACATTTCTGGCTATGTTAAGATGATGAATGATGTGATACACCCTGGCTGAACATTTATCTTTGCCTTTACTAAACTGCATTTTTCACTTGCTTGCCATGTAACATCTATGTTTTCCACTGATACTGCCTTTCCCATTTGGACTGCACAGATTCTTTCTGAGGACTGTATAGCCTAGGAGCAATGTCTGTTCGCTTTATGCTCTCTTCCTTTAAAAATGATCAGAAAGCAAAAATCAAGTGTGGTCTTTCTCACAGGATAACCTAGCCATGCACATTCAACTCTGTTGCTGTCTTCTTGTTCCAGCTATTTGGTGGGCGATGAACTCTGGGTAGTTATGGAGTATTTGGCAGGAGGCTCCTTAACTGACGTGGTTACAGAGACCTGCATGGACGAAGGGCAGATAGCCGCGGTCTGCAGGGAGGTAAGGGTGCTGCCCCCGCTCGCCGTCACCCAGATAGGATGGGACTGGGAAACAGGTGCTAGGAACAGTGATTTCATGTTCAGGTCTTCATTTCTGGGTTACCTTTGTGATGCAATTGGTCTGCCTGTATCACTGCACTTGCTATATCCTCTGTTATTGTACTCTATTATTATACTCCCTCTTTTTTTTTCTGAGTTTTATTATTCTCAACATCTTTAAACATTCGCTTGGGGCATGCATGTATGTTATTCCTTGCCTGTAAAAGCAAGATGCTTGTAGCAGAATTTTATAACAATAGCAAAGAAATTTTTTTTCATTTGTCACAGTCCTCCACTTAAAAGGATAGCATTCCATCCAAAACTGATGTTTGCTTCTGAAAAATGACCAAAATGCTATTTTCAAATCTCCTGTAGAGATAGACACAATAAAATCTTTGTCATAAACAAAGTGATCCACTTTTCATGAAGGAAGTGAGTTTTTCATTTTTGGCAAATACTAGTTTGTCGTATGGATGCAGAGAGCAAATTCACTACGACTGCAGTCATTCTGTCTGTAGCAATGAATGACATTTCTCATTCAAAAGCTAATGTGCCTTCATATGAAAAGTTACTATGCTAATAGTTGGTGAAGCAGCAAACTATTTCTCTTGATAGCATGGTATTTTGCCATTACTCAATTTGTATAGAAATGAAGTCTTTTAGAGACATTTAATTCTTGTGTGATGAAATCTTGTGTTCATTTTTTCCTGTATCAGTGCCTGCAAGCACTGGATTTCCTACATTCAAACCAAGTGATCCACAGGGACATCAAGAGCGACAACATCCTTCTCGGGATGGATGGATCTGTCAAATTGAGTAGGTATCCTGGGCCGGGCAGCGTGTTCACGGCGCAGGCTGTGGGGCTGCTTCTCCCTGCCTGCCCGGTGAGTGCCCACCAGTGGGTGCTGGGGCTGGGGCTGTGATAGAGCCCTCACCACTGCTGCGGGCAAGCTGCCTAAGTCGGTACATGGAGAGGCAAAAAAAGGGTAAAGACTGGCTTTTGGTTGCTTATGTCCCTCCCAGAGTTTTGATTTAAACCTTCAAGTGAAGTATTTACTGCATGAAATTTCTTTATTTCTTTATTTTTCTTGATTTTTTTTAAGTGGCTGATTTCACTGATTTTCCACTACACTGTCAACTATAGGCAGTGTGGATGCTTTTTCAGACAGACCCAACACTAGCTTTTGGACGCAGGGTGAAGGTTTCTCCTGCTGTAGCTTGGCTTTAATGACCCCCGTTCTCTCCGCAGCTGATTTTGGGTTCTGCGCGCAGATCACCCCTGAGCAGAGTAAACGCAGCACAATGGTGGGGACTCCTTACTGGATGGCACCAGAAGTGGTGACGAGGAAAGCATACGGCCCCAAAGTTGACATCTGGTCACTCGGGATCATGGCAATAGAAATGGTGGAAGGAGAACCTCCTTACCTTAACGAAAATCCTCTCAGGGTAAGGTGCAAATCAAATAAGATCCCCCTGTCTTTTTAATCTGGCCCATGTTTAGAGACAAAATCCTCATCCTGTCAGCTTGGACTAGTTCCAGCAAGGGCTGTTTCTAAAAATGTCCTTGCAGCATTTCAGCACTGCAGCTTTGGGTGCATAAATGGGAAAGCCTCAAAAGAGAAGTGACATGCAACTAGTTCAGAAATGTGTCGTTTTTGCCTTCAGCAATGCTTAAAATTTCTCAGGTAGTTTTTTGAAGTTGCTTTCAGCCCTATCTCTGATGACAAGAATTTTTCAGTGACAAGTTTCTCCAGTTGATGGATTTTTATGAAGAGAATTTTATCTTATCTGCATGGAAAGAAGTATTTTCAAACTCAGATCAGTGGATCCTTTGAAAAAATATCCTTGGTTATAGTAATGCCACAGTTATATATTACTAAAACAAATTTCTGCAAATTGCAGTGTAGCAAAAATACCTGTGCTAAACAGGTAGTCAACTGATTTTTAATATTTTGGAAGTTTTCCTTGTTGCTCTAAGTACTTTAAATGAAATGACCTGTTCATACACCAAATGGTTGTGTGTTGTGGAGGAGGGTATGCCAAGAACAGAAATTACTGGTCTGGCTGCTCGAGTTCTGCTTCCTTAACCTGAAATGTTGTTTACGGCTCATCTGGAAGCTTTGGGTTGAGTCCTGCAAAGATTTGCTTGTCTCTTCTTACTGCAAAGTGTTTTTCATCCTTGTTTGCATTCACCCATTCAAATACCTGTCCAGATTAAATTGGATAGAGGCTCTTTTTCTCCATACGTGCTTTCCATATGTGCTGTAGGTGTTCCTGTTTGAGCACGGGGGTTGGACTAGATAATCTCTGGAGGTGCCTTCCAATCTTAACCATTCTGTGATTCTGTGCTTCCCATCCTGCTAGAGTTGAGCCCATCTTGAACACTCCCAATTTAGAGGCATCTTCAAGGGTTTGGAGGTGAAAATGCAGCATGTGAAAACGAGGATCTGAAGCTGGTAGCGTCTGCAGTGACTTTTCCTGCTTTGCAGAGGTGGTTGCCCCTGGGTTAGGAACAGYGAGGAGCTTGTGAAGCCTGGCCTGAAGCTTCAAATAGGTTTATTGGGGTAAAACACCCCCGTGGGCACACGGTCCCATCAGAGGCTCCAGGGAAAGGTCCCAACTGTCAGAGCTTAAGGCAAGGTCTGTTTTTGCAGCAAAAGGTTTTAGCTGGTGTAATGCAGTAATTCTTGAGTTTTATAGTCCCATTTTGCCTGTGTTCAGGGATTTCTGCAGAGCCTGAAAGCAGGAGAGTCCTGGTTTGTTTTTATGAATGATTGTTACAATAATGTGAAGCATCCAGGTGCTTCAGTTTAAACGTATAAATAGATTACAAAGGCATTAAAGGATCATTAATGACGGAGTTAAGAGCAGGCTGCTGGTGTGCTGGCTGTGGAGCGGGCTTGTTGCTCGCAGCCTGGGAGGCCGGGGCTGCTTCCCGGCCGTGAGAGAGGCCCCGGATGCGCTCGCTGTGATCTCCTTCCACAAGGAGTATGCCTACCCCAAGGGATGATCTCTGGAGCAGGAAATATCCTCGGAAATGCAGGTTGGACCTCCTTGTTTTCAATTTAAAAAAGAGAGGATTGCTGTTTGCTTTTTCATYTATTACCTCCAAATTTTATAAAACTGCAACACAGTTTTCAGATGCCAAGGACCATCTATGGTTTCAGGCTTCTGAACTGCCCATGTAGTGCTCCTGTTGTGCTCCTGTTGTGCAGCTGGGCAGCCCCGGTGCCTTTGGGATGGCGCTTTCCCAGACTGCAGCTACAATTATATGCTGCTTTCCTTATAGTTTCTTGATAYGTTGAACAAATTAATGATCCCTTTGCCGCTACTGCCAGCACTCCTTTGCACGGGATGTTTTTCCTTCCCAGACGCAAGCAAGTGCACCCTGGTGCAAATTCCCAGSCAAGTGAATGCAGCCGGGGTGCAGGTTTTGGGGATGGTGCCCGTGCTGCTTGCCCGTGCGTCAGGGSGGCCCTTGGCCTCAGGTGCCACGAGCAAAATGCAGTGGCAGCGGCTCTGTGCCCCCGCTGTGCCCGGCGGCCAAGGTCGGTTAGGAGGGACAGGATGAGATTCACTTTGTGAGGTTTGGGTTGTGGTAGAATAAAGAAGCAAACTGCTGCTGGTTTTAGTGTTGGATAATTGATTTGCCTAGTTAGGCTTGGAAAATTTCTGCCTTTAAGAGGATAACTTTTGACTTGGTTGAGGTCAACTTGAGTGCAGGGCAGTTGTTACCATGGCCGCCTTTTGTTGATGGAAGAGTCCTAGGCCTGTTCTTGTTAATATAACTATATTTTAGGCATATTTTTCAAGTTAAAGTAGTCCATAAAGATGGAATTACTCATCTTTCTAATTAAGCCATTAAACGTTTTTTGTTTTTATCACATAAACTAAGCTAATCTGAAACTGGAGACTGTTGGAAAAATAGGACTCAAGGTGGCTCAGGTCTGTGCCCAGTTTACCCTTTTCCTCCTAGCATCTCCTGTGACTTACGTGGCTGTGCGGAATATGAAGCTCTCAGTGTTTTTGTTTCTTTATCCGTGGCATAAGCTTCTGGATTTAACTTTTTCCATCAAGTCACCAAGAATGCAGCAAAAAAATGTGACTACCTGTCTCTGTTTTGTGGAAGCGCAGTGCTTTAGGGACCACTGAGCACTGCAGAGATGCAGTTTATATAATAATCCTTTGAGGTAATAGAGTTGGGCCTAATTYTCTCCTTAAAATAGCCTGTAAAGCTCATATCAATACTTACAGAAGCAAAATGTGCTTTTGCTGGTATAGCTCATATTAACTAGGTCAGGCAATGAAATCAGCTATTGAGGCAAAATCATTTTGATGCTGGAATAGCTGTGTCTGGATGAGGCTTTTTGTCGGGGTAGAAAAATTGTTCCTATCCGTCTGCCAAGGAAACAAATTTGCGTGGTAGAGCTGATGTTGCAGAGCAGGGCTGGTGTGAGGGCTGYGGGGCGCCGCTGCAGCCGGGGCTTGCGTGTTCGCAGGCGCTGTATCTCATCGCCACCAACGGGACGCCGGAGCTGCAGAACCCGGAGCGCCTCTCCGCCGTCTTCCGCGACTTCCTGAACCGCTGCCTCGAGATGGACGTGGACCGGCGAGGCTCTGCCAAGGAGCTGCTGCAGGTAGGCGGCTAAACACGCGGGCCACGGTCACGCCCTCGTCTCTAGTTTGGCTGCTTTTCAAGCTAAAAAGATGTGTTTTGGTCTTTGCTCAGTTTTACGTGGTGGCAGCCAGTGCAGGGGCCTGGCTTGGGCTGATCCCTTCTGCATTCAAAGATGCAAGTGAGAGCAGCCCAATGAAATTGCTAATGCSACGGAGACAAGTCTGGGCTGCGTGCGGTGTTTGTTCATCTCCATGTTTCCTGAGGGGAGCAAGGCCCAGGGAGAGCAGCTCCCCACGATGGCAGGCGGGACAAGAGTGCCTGCAAGCGCAGCCATCTTGATAAGCACAGGRCTTACAGCATCCATAGCATAGCACCCATAGGACTGTGGGCTGCGCTTGCCTGCAGCGAGGGCCCGGCACAAAGGTGTACGTGGCCACCTCAGCCCTATTCCTGCATGTTCCTGGTGACCAGAGGAGGAATATTGGTTATGTCTGCGAGTGGGTGATTCTGAAGAGTAACAGTTTCTTTCTTTCTTTCCTTTGGGTAGCATCCGTTTTTAAAACTAGCCAAGCCTCTCTCCAGCCTGACTCCTCTGATCATTGCAGCAAAGGAAGCGATAAAGAACAGCAGCCGCTAGCACTCCAGGCTGGTCTTCTCCCAGCCAGCTCCCTCCGGAGCAGGACTGAACAAAAACTCTGTAAAACCTCAACTCTTGTGCTGCAGGACACATGGATGGACAGACAGTCACAGTCATGGTGGTAGCAGGGAGGAGGGGAGAACAACTGTTCTCCGGTGTCCCCGTCCCCCCCCCCACCCCGAGGAATAGAAACTTATCACGTGTCTTCTTCCTGCTTCCCGGCTCCTTAATTTATTTCTAAGATGAAACAGGGCTTAAGACAGAGAGGTAATGACAGAAGCTGCTTTGCTGTCTCAGCCGTTTCCAAGGTAAAGCAAACTCAGTTGGAGGATTCCCTTCCGTCTCACCCTGTGAATAAGCTGTACATTCACTTTTAAATTGTCAGTTGTTTCTTAAAGATGCAAAGTCCCAAAAATGGTTTTTTTTGGTATGGTTTGGAATTGGAGAAGGGTCCTCCTTCATTTGCGCACTCCAGACTGCATCGCCTTTTGAACACAGCGCTCGCTGGTGTTTGCTCGCTCATGGTACGCCCAGCCGCAGAAGAATTGCATTTCCAGCCAAAAATGAATCAAGAGTGGAGCAGACAAAACATCCTGTTGAGATACAGGGTTTCAACTGTGAATATATAGTGTTTCAGTTCTTGACAGTTTGGTTTGTGTAACTAATTGTAATATGTTTGCCTGGGTGAGAGTCTTATTAAAATGGAAGAAGAAAACGATGAGCCGGAGTGCTCGGAAAGGGCTYGTTGGATGGAAGTGAAGGGTGATGGCAGGCGGCCGGGATCGAGTCCTGCAGCACCTTGCAGGGCATCCTGGAGCCTCTTGGCCTCRGGCGCCGCATTTGGAGCAGAAGCAGAAGCAAAGTGGCTGCGGATGCCAGTCTGAAGCCACCATTAATCATCCGTCTCAGATCAGCCCCCTGGGGCTCGTGCAGGAGCAGGGACGGGTGGAGCCCATCCTGGCCCTTCGCGCTCGTGGCTCCATTGCAGCCGCAGCAGGAGGGGGCCTGGGCAGGCAGTGTCCTCCTGAGCTGGCAGAGAGGTTTCCAGGGTTGGRCTCTGCTCAGCCCATGCAGCAAACAACTTTGGAAGAAACCGCACTTGGACASCAAGTGAGAGCTAAGGGTTGATGGCAGAAACTCGCAGGGCTCTGAAAGTGGCCGCCTTCCTGCTCTCCAGGGAGCAGTGAGTTGCTGGCAGAGCAGCCCTGGCAAGGGCAGAGTGCTGCTCTGTACAGAGCAGGGTAGGTTACACAGGCTGTTGTCAGGGTTTTATCCTTTTTAAGAGAGAGATGCAGCCTGACKTCACTCAGAAAAAGCTTATTTTTTGCTGTGTTGTAGCGGTACTCTAAAAAAAAAAAGAAAAAAACCCTTCAAAACAGCTTCTGGATCATGGCTGTCCTAACCTAGCAAACACACATGAGGAAGCTGCAGCCCTCTGGGTTCAGGCCTGATCCTGCAAAAGGCTGAGYAGCCTCTAAGGTACTGAAGATGCTGATGTTTTGCTGGTACGAATGAAGGGTGCTGGGGCTSTGCCTGAATAAGGCCATTAGCTAATTTGGTTTTGGCTCCTTCCTTACAGTCCAGGTGTCGTGACTGTCGCTGCTGCTTCGCCCGTGCACTCCCGTCCRGCCGGGGCCATTGGCTGCCCAGGCGCTGCGCTCGCTAGGATTTAACCTTTCCCAAGTGCCCGGGAGCAAAGCAGGTTTGATTTCCCCATCCCTCAAACCCCATTTCTTTTTTGAGGCTGCAGTTTTCTCCATCAGCTCCAGCAAATTACCTGGGAGATGGCTCTTCTTGAGGGTAATAGCAGCGGGGATTCATCCTTGAGCAGAGCCCCCTCGATTTGTAAAGCATTAATCTGGGTGAAATGTGTTTGTATTCCATGTGAGAAGTGAAGAAACAAGTGACATTTTCTGTTTTCCAGGATAGCTTTTATTTTTACCTGCCCTCAGAGGAACAGACAGCCGTCCTTTAAAAGGAAAGCACTTTTTTGTGGCACACTTTTGCAGGACATGCAATAGAAATGCTTGTGCTGACAGGTTATACTACTTGATTTATTGTTTTTCCCTGTTTGTTTTCTATAGCTATAAATATTTCATCATTTTTCCCTGTCTCCACTTTTCAAAAAAAAAAAAAAAAAACTGAAACAAAATAGAGAAGAAATCAAATAGAAGTGGCTTTTTTGTTTTATGATTAGCATATGCTCCAGCATGCAAAATATTGTTGGCACTGGCTTTTTAAACACAGCTGCTTTAAAAAGAGGCCTTAATTTTTATTTTATTAAATAGTATATTTATTTTTCTTTGCATCAACAAATACAGCTATTTTTTTTCTTTTTAAAAATACTTTTAAATTCTTTTTACAATGTTGAAAAGGATTCAACAGAAATAATCTCTGCTGGTGACAGCTTTTAATGTGGACTGTAATTGCCCAGCTGAGACCACCTGGGACCGACTGTTCTGCAGCCGGTAGAACAAACCAGCCGCATCCCTGTTGCTCTTTGCTTGGGATGGTCTCTGGCACCAAATTCCCAGTCACTAGATMATAGCAGGTGGCAGCTGCCTTTGGATTTGAAGGGAAATTTGGAAAAAGAAGAATATTAATGCAAAAGAACAGTCCTGTGAGATAGGTCTTGTACATTATTTGCAGTATCAACTAATAGTGTGTTAGGATAGGCATTGCCCTTGCAGAAAGGAAGGAGATGCAACCTAGAAAATCTCTGGAGCCATGTTGGGATGTTTTTTGGGATACTTTCCCTGGATTAAACAAGTAGTTGCATATATTTTTTTTTTTTTTGGAGGAATTAGGCAGTTTCTGTTGCCCAGTGCATAGGTAAGTGTCATATATGTTTCAAACACATTCATTCCAAAGTTTTTAAAACTGGGTAATTAGATTTTTCCCTTTTTAAATTCTTTAAACAGTTAAAAAAAAACCCAAATGAACAAACAAGCCCAGCTGTGCAGGGCTGGCCTCTGACTCCCCTCTGCACCGTGTCACAGTGTAGACACAGCCCACGGGTGAGCTGAGGTGGTGGGTGCTCAGCGGCAGCCGTGCGGYGGTGCTGGCGCAGGGGGTGCCAGACGTGCGGAGCGGGTGACTTATTTAAGGGAGAAGGGAAAAGCGCCCGTGGGGCTTGCTGCGTAGCTGTCAGACCCAGACTGAGGAAGAAGTGGGCAAAATAAGTTGTTGAAATGGGTAGTGTGCAAAACTAACGGAGCCCAAGAGGACACTGGATGGATTCCCGGCAGGCACCACACACGTGGTGGTGCCAGGCAGGTGCCTGCAGCTGTGGTTGAGCGGCTGTGGGTTGCCTGCACCTGCTGCAAGCTCCATGCTGCCCGGCCGCCCACGGGTGAAGCCCGAGCGGCTGCGGTTGGGAGCTGTGATGGGCCTGGCCCCGCGGCTGGACGGGCCCGTGGCCCCACACACGGCGTGGCTGGAGCACCGCTCCGAGGGAGGGCAGCAGGGCACTGYGCGCAAGGGTTGCGTGTATGTCTGCGCTTCGTGTCTGGCTGGCGCTTGGAGCCACAGCAGTGCTGTTCCTGCAGGGGAAGGTGCTGCCTCCCTTGCCCTGCCTCATCACTCTGTGCCCTGGCTGTGCTCTGCAGCGGTGGTGCCGGGGGCAGGATGCTCCTCCCGGGGTCGGTCCCTCGCCCAGCGGCAGCCGGGGAGCTGGAGGCCTCGCTGCCGGCGGCGGCTGCGTGAGCGCTCGCTCGGGGTGCGCGTGGTGCCGGGGCCGCTACCTACGAGGGCGGTAGCAGCTTCCCCATCATTTCTCCTTTCTCACGTGCAATACTGTCCAGTCAGCATTGGGTCAATAGAGCAAGTTTGAAGCGTACAAGTCTCTTATGTCCCTGTCTGCTGAAATTTGTGACCTTTGAGCTAAAGATACACCACAGCAATTGCTTTTTGTCGCAGTTTGTATGAGCATTAAGCAACGCTGTTAATCACTCTGTAGCATCCATGAGGAAAAGCCCGTCAGCCCCTGGGGTGCCTCTTGCATGGTCCCGATGCTGCGCGGGAGCACGCAGGCGCCCGGAGCCGCTAGCAAAGCCCTGCACCGCCACTGTGTGCCCCGGGCAGCRCAAACACCCCTCCTGGGGCAGCCCCTGCGTGCGGTACTGCCTGGGAGTGTCTGTGACCACCCTGGGAGACAGGGAGCTCTGCCAGGATGTCTGCAACTCCAAACTGGAGCGGGCTGCAACCAACTCTCTAACTCCAGTGTAGGCCAAAGCACCCAGCTTTCCCCTGCACTGGTGGCTGCTAGGTTTTTTTTCTTCAGGGTATCCAGACAAGAGCAAGCAGAGGAGGAGCCTACACTACATTCTCATGTTTATCAGAAACGTATCTCATTTTGCTGTACATTCCTTTTATAGGATGTGTTATCTGTTAAAAAAAAAAAAAAAAGGCAAAAAGAAAGAAAAAAAGAAAAAGATAAAAAACAAATGTGTAGTGAAATTCTTCTGTAACTTTGGATTAAAAGGTACTTATGATCTTTTTAAAAAGAGGACTAAGTTATTTACTTTGTAAATGTGCTGATGGCATGGATCCATCTTACTGACCTCAGCATCCTTTTTTTTTCTTTTTTTTAAAGATTTTTGGGGGTTTTGTTTCCAATATTAAGTTATTTTAAATTGTGGTTGAAGCAATAGAAAATTGAAATATGGATTGTGCATGACTGTGTCTTGAGTGTAAAAAATATTGCAGTTTGAAACTTGGACCTAAAGTATTGCAAATAAAAGTTATAAATACCAGTGAACTGTGTGAGTGCGGCTTTCCCTGCAGGAGTTGCTGGYGGAAGGCTTGGCTGAACATGCATGAACTCGGCTCACCGCAGACTTGGGAAGACTTAGAGCTGCTTGAGCCTCAAGGTGCTGCATGAGAGCCTGGGGGCCAGGCCACTGACACGGGACTCACCTGCTGCAGGACCCACTTGTCCTTCACCTGGACAGCCTGAGCTCTGTGTGGCCTCCAGCTCCACTGCACCTGGCTCGCAGGGTAGGGAGGCTCCCCATTCCCTGGCTCTGTGTCCAGCCACCTCATAGCAGCTCCACGCTGGCTTGGGTGCTGCCTGCAGTGCTGTTGTTCTGTGCTGGGGGCTTGGGCTGGGCACTCGCCACAGCTCCAGGGAGGAACCTGCTTCTAGTGCCCTGCCCAAGGCCTCACTGCTAAAAAAAAAAAAAAAAAGAAAAGAAAAAAAAGCTATAACAAAAGAAAAAACAGAAAAGGAAGTCTGCTAGCCCCAGGCAAAGGTATATAAGCCACCCTGCTGCAAAGTTTTGGGGCCTGTGCCTTTGTCACATGCCCTTACAGCTGCTGTGGTGCTCATCAGCAGGAAATGGCAGCACCTGGGGCGATGGAGGCAACCCAGGGCAGCGGCAGCCATTGCCAGCTGTGCACACAGTGTGTCAGGGCAGCTAGGAGCAAGGGGGGAATAATAACAGTAATAACAACTAGCTCCCCTCCAGCCTTCCCTCCTGAGGACAGAGCAGGCTGTGAGTGGGCCCAAGGAGCCGTCCGGCGCCCTGGGAAGGTCCCCAGTTCAGGGTGTAGCAGGCAGTGCCGTGGCCTGACCATGCTCAGTGCAGGTGCCTACCTGCAGGTGCTCTTGCCACGGCGGTGCTACCCCATGAGAGGAGCGGCTGTGGTGCCTCCCAGGAGGGCTGCCTGCTGCCGAGGAGGCAGCCCTTGAGGAGCAAAGGCGGCTGCTGCAGCCTGGTGCAGCAGAGCAGGTTCCACGTTCTCAGCTCCTGCACAGGCCRGCCATGGTGCAGGGCTGGGGCGGAGCAGGGCCAAGGCAGGGCCGTGCTCCTGGGGCAGCGCCACGCTGGGCTCCGCAGCGGCATCCCTCTGGAGAAACCAGCACGCTGCGCCTGTTGGGATGGSTGTGCTTGCATTGCAGCCAGGTGAGCAACAGTGCTGTGGAGCTGCTGAAGGGCCAGGGAGCCTCCAGAAGCTGCAGGAGATGAGCACACATGCTTGCCCGAGTCAACAGCATCAGCATTTGGGAACTGTCCCCAGTGCCCCAATCAGTTACACTGGGGTGGCGAGGGGGCACTGGGAAAGTGCCAGACACTGCAGATCCTGCCCAGGGCTAAGGGAGCAGTGAAAGAAAAAAAAAAAAAAAAAAAGGGAAAGGAGCTGTTCAATTTAAAACATATATAAAATATATATTTATATACTATATATAATATGTATTTTTTATAGATATATATTATTTTATATATTTTTTTTTTGTGTGTGTGTGTGTGTGTATGTATACATATATTTAGTGTTCTTTGGGAAGGCTGGAAACAGGGTGAAGGGGAGGGAGAGTCACCCAGAAAGGTCTACCTTTGATCTGAAAGCAAATGCTTCATTTCAGAAATTATTGCATCCATTTCTCTTATTATTAACCTTTTATTTAGGTTATGCTCTAATGGAAAAAAAATATAAGAGCAGCTTTGAAATGAAACATTTTTCAGACCATACCCCTCGGCTTAAGGATGGGGTTTTTTTTCTTTTTTTGTTTGTTTTATTTGGGGGGGGGAGGGGTGTGCGCCAACTCCCTGCCTAGTGCAGTGCACAGCTCTATCTTAAATAGCTTCAAACTCAAAAAAAAAAAAAGAGACCATTTTCCCACAAATTGACATTACCTGTAGAAAACTACTGCCCTGGTTAGTGGTAACACATGTAAAATGCTGAGCTTGTCTGAAAA